CTGCCCTCCCACTCCAGCCACTGGCCTCCAGCCCTGGAGTTCCGCTTCCAGGTGCCAGCACAGCTGTCTGGTCCAGCAATATCCGCAGTCCTGCTGCACCAGTTTTTCCCTTTGAGTGCTCCAACCCCAGAGCACCTATCAGATCTCTGAGGATGCCGGACCGTGGATGTTGCCGCACCAGAGGGTCTCGGACTAGAGAAGTGCAACCTGTATTCCTAAATTAAAGATCAACCAAATAACCACACACACGCTTCCAGGCCTTCTTTATACATTATCAACAGAAATAAGGACACACATCCACTTCTACTTACATTCTTAGCAGTTTACCTATAACCTTTCTGCTCCTCAGTTTCCCATCTGTAGGATAATGGTTAGATACCCTCTTGTGTGAAGAGCTCTACGAGGAGGGCAATTGACATACGGGGTCGTACTTAGCACTTAAGGCATCATAGAATCATAGAATACTAGAACTGGAAGGGACCTTGAGAGGTCATCAAGTCCAGTTCCCTGCCCTCAAGGCAGGACCAAGCACCATCTAGACCATCCCTGATAGATGATCCATCTAACCTGCTCTTAAATATCTCCAGAGATGGAGATTCCACAACCTCCCTAGGCAACTTATTCCAGTGTTTGACCACCCTGACGGTTAGGACGTTTTTCCTAATGTCCAACTAAACCTCCCTTACTGCAGTTTAAGCCCATTGCTTCTTGTCCTATCCTCAGAGGCCAAAGAGAACAATTTTTCTCCCTCCTTCTTGTAATACTTTTTTAGGTTCTTGAAAACCACTATCATGTCACCTCTCAGTCTTCTCTTTTCTAAACTAAACAAGCCCAATTCTTTCAGTCTTCCCTCATAGCTCATGTTCTCTAGACCTTTAATCGTTCTTGTTGTTCTTCTCTGGATCTTCTCCTATTTCTCCACATCTTTCATGAAATGTGGTGCCCAGAACTGAACACAACACTCCAATTGAGGCCTAATCAGTGCAGGCCTCAATCATTATTATTATTTAGTATTTATGCCACAGAGAAATGAAATTTGTCCAAGAAATAATCAAAACCTTTTTTTTTTTAAGTAAACATACAACGGAGCTCCAGCTAGTGCCAGTCCATTTAGCTCCGTTGAAGTTATTAGAGCTATGTGGATTTATTTGGCTTATGATCAATATGCACATGTAATTAGAATTTAAGTGCAAAGGGTTTCTTGTCAGTTAAAACTGCGAACCTCCAAACTCCTGATTGGCTGTACCATCCCTTGCATCTTAAAAGCCTCCAGGATGCTTACATGGTTCTCAGCCTACGCTGTTTACACAGTAATGCGGTTGCTAGGGGAAAGAATGCCATGTTGTTTCGAAAGCATTATTCAATCTGGACAATCTAAAGTGTAGCTTCCATAAACAACGAACAAGAGATATGCCTTAAACTTTGATATTTTGGTAGTTGTTTGCTATCGAAACTTTTCTGTTTATACTATCTTTTTAGCAACTAAGTCACTTCCAGACATGCATGTTAACATCTAAAAAAAGTTCTACCCATCTGTGCACACATTGAAAACTCAAAAGTTTCTGGTTAGCTGGAAAATGACTACAACAAGGCCAGGTCTACACTAGATCTGGCAGCCTGGATTAAGTTACGCAACTCAAGCTACATAAAACATGTAGCCAGAGTTGGCTTACCTTAAGCTGAGCATGGTAGTATCTCTGCAGTGGGAGGCTGATGGGAGCAAAAGCTTCAATTGACTTCCCTTACTCCTTGCAAAAGGAGGCATACTGGACACTGGTAGAGGTACCTTCTGAGTCTGATATAGCGAGTCTTAACTAGACTCAATAAATCAAACTCCAGAAGATCAATCACGGCAGAAGTGATCTTCCTTTTAGGGTAGACAAAGCCCTAGGGTCCAGTCTTTCCATCCTTACTCACATCAGGGGCCAGATTTTCAAAAATGCTTAGATCCTTACAGAGCTACTGCGGGGCACTGAGCAAGACCTGGTGCCGGTAACAGTTTGAGAAATAGCCCCGAATAAACCAATAGAGCTAGTCTCCTAAGTAAGAGTTTTATGATAAGGTCCAAAGAGAACAATCTGGACACAATGAACGCAGCAGCTTTATCTAGAGCCACACCTTTCCTGTGCTAAATCTTGGCAACAGCAGACGTTGTTTGTACCAATGTCCTGTCGATCTCTTTCACGCTCCGGCATCCTGGGGGAGAAATTAAATATGTATAATGTGCATAGGCTTAGAAGAATAATTAGCATTATTCAGGAACTGATTTCCCAGCAAAAGATGACCCTGGACTGTTGATAGTTAAGCCACAGGTCTAGAGCTCAAGTCATAGGTCTGAAGCCTGGCTCTTCCACAGACTTCCTGCATGACACTGGGCTAGTCATTTTCGTAGTTCAATTCCCGAAGGGACCGTGATAGTGGCAGAATCCAAAAAATATCACCTTGTGATTCCCATATTGAACAAAATAATCTGTGATTGAGCTCAAGTGTATCTTTTAGAAAAGTGCCCAGTCTTGATTTACAGGCACCTATTTATAGGGCCTGTTCTCTATGGGCTGTAGGGGCTACTGTAATAAACATAATAAGTAAAAGCAGATGAAACTATTCGGGATGAAAACAAAACAGTCTTCTTAACTTCTGTAGCTTAACAAATAAGACCCTGGGCTAGGATTCAGGAAGCCTGAGTTCAATTCCAGGCTCTGCCAGTGGCCTGTCATGTGACTGAGTAAGGAGCAACCTGTCCTGTGCCTCAGTTTCCCCATGTCTAAAAATGGAAATAATGATACTAGTCTCCTTTGTACAGCACATTGACATCTACGGGGGGGGGGGAGGGGAACAATATACTGGCCTATTCTTAATAGCTAAAAAAGCTGATAATTTTTGTTAAACTATATTCTGCTATGATAGCTTATGGCTTGTTGATGTGACAAAGAAACCCACAATGCTGCTGCCAAGGCTGTTCCCCACTTCGGCACCCTCTGAGCTCGATTTAGTGAATCTAAACTAGACCCGCTAAATCAAACTCCGGAAGATTGACCACGGCAGCAGTGATCTTACTTTTAGCGTAGACAAGGCTTTAGATGCACAGGGAGAGAATTAGGCTCCAATCTTTCCAAAAGGTGAGGGTCTGCAAAAGACTTTAAAATACCTTGCCACTAAAAGCTTGCATTAAAGCTCCCCATGGTTACAGATACCCCATCCGTGGACTGGTATTGCTGTCACTACCCAAGTGCAAAATCACTTTTGAGAACCCAGGACGGTGTACTTGGGAATTCCTTCCTTTGAGGTACCCGCAATTTCTTTCAACCCTCCTTCTGGATAGAACTTGAAACCCAGATGCTGACATCAGCTGAAAATGGAACCTTAGTTTCTCTTCGTAGTTTCGCTGTGCAGCCTTAGACACGTGCACATGGAACCTCACGCCTTCTAGGACATGGGAATCGGAACATGTTCTTAAAAGGATGAATGTTATTTAAAAATAAACACTTTTGGTAAAACGTTGCTTGGCTACCGGGTGTGACAGAGCAACTGGAAACAGGATTAAAACCACAGAGAATTGCTCCCCTGGGATCCAGTTTGGAAAGCTACAGTTTAATGAGGAAGTTAGATATGCTCAGTACAGACAAATCTAACAGACCCAGAAGTAAAAATAAACCTGATCGCATTGGATAAACATTCCCTATTCTACTCACATATCTATAGATTTAAGACTTAGTCTTCCCCCAGGCATGGATGTTGCTGGATTCTCCTGCCCTCACTCCCTGGCTTCTGGCATGTCCTTCCAGGAGGTCCTCCTTGGCCAACAAGAAGGGCTTGCTGCTTCCAATTCAAAAGCCCATACTCTGTTTTCATTGGCTCTCCAGGCATCTTGCAAACTCACTTTCTGCTTCCCTCTCTTCTTTGGATTTCTCTAGGATTCACTGCCCATGGCTTTAAAATCTTACCAGCAAGTCAATTAGGGTCAAGTCTAAAAAGTTAACAATTACTGAGAAAAGATTTCAGCTGATGGAATGGCTGGAATGTTTGGAGAAGGGATGTTACCTCCCTCCTCCCCCCACATTTCACCACAGTTGCAGTGGTGCTGGTGTTTAAGTATGTTAGTACTGATCCAGTGCATTGCTAGGCCAGGACACTCTTCATTAGAGGGTCTGTCTTTCTCATCTACTCTGTACTTTAGAAACTTCTGTCTGTGTGTCCGTCCATCCATCTGTGAGTCCATTTGTTCAAGAATCCCTCTTAAACAGTAAGCACTAGAACCACCAAATTTGATATGCAGCTTCCTCTTATCGCAACTTAAAGCAAAGTCAGGGTTTGGTTGTGCCAGGACAATGGGATGTGCTGGAATTTGAATGATTCTTATAAAATATAAAGGGAGGTGTCTGGTAGGAGGGACAGTTATACTGTAGATTGACTGCAGAGGAATAGCAAGGGGCCAGAGATGGGGACCAGGACCAGCTGCAGCAGCCATAGACAGTAACTTCCCACCTACCCCCAAACTGCTGTGGTGAGAGAGAGTTGGGGTTGTCCTCTCTCCCCAGGGCAGCCTGCAGACTGGACCCCTCACCCTCAGTCCCATCCCAGAACAGTGGTTTAAATGAAGAAAAACAAAATGTATTTGTGCTATGGACCTGAGCAATGCTGGGTGAATCTTCTAGTAATGCAAAAAAGCCAGGTCCTACTCAGAGCTGTATGCACCTTTCAAATGGAGCCTAGAACCAGATTAAACTTATTTTCTGGGGTGGGGAAGAGGACAGAAAGAATGCCGTCCATCCCAGAGCTATTCTGCTTTGAGATGAAAGGTGATTCTACAAATGCGAGACAGCAGCTGTGTCTATGCTCCAGTCAGAAGTGAGAGTCCAGCCAAAAACAGCCATGGAGACATGACAGCAGAGATCTTAGCATAGGTTAATACCCTGGCTGGGTACCCAGATGGGCTAGCACAGTCCACAATGAAACCCACACTGCCACCTCAAACTTTGGCCTCGCTGGATAGATTAAATCCAGCACCGCTTGGTCTCTCTGAGTTGCGACTAATACTTTCAATTGCAACGGAAAGAGAGAGAAAGATGGGAACTATGAAAAGGAAGCGGGTGTCTCACCAGAAAGTGCCATTGCCAGCTGGAATTCTTCCTTCAGCATCTGGAGAACTTCTTTTGCCCCTTCTTCACCCTAATAGATGGGAAGACAATACATTATACTACCACACGGACACACAGCAGGGGGGTAATTTAAGGTTTCATAGACCATCTTCACTCTGGCATTTCATGAATTTCCTGTTTGCATCCATACCATTCGCTGGTCATATTTTTTTGAATGTTCGTGCATGTCTAAAAGGATAGTTTAATAGTCAAAATTTGGAGGGCCACCTTTGATGAATTACCTGATAAACCAACCCCCAGATGATAGGTCTTCCAATAAACACTGCCCTAGCACCAAGAGCCAATGCCTTGAGAACATCTGTGCCTTTTCTCACTCCACCATCCAAGAACACCTCCACCTTCCCTTCCACAGCCTCGACGATTTCCGGCAAGACGTCAATCTAGAAAAGCAAAAACAGGACAGCAGAAATTCAGTCCGTGAAGAACCAGTCTGTAATGAAGAGCAACATGAATTGTGTGCCTAAGTTCTGTGCACAAATAATGTCGTTGTGTACACAAGCATGGAAGTGACTAATCATACGAGTGTGCAGAGGGAGAAGTAGGTTAGTACTGACCAAGTGCAGCAGTAAAGACACTTTGTTGCAGGTGCTGTCATTTTCATCTACATATATTTGAGAGAGAGTTTGTCTGAGTGAGTGTGTCTGTCTGTTCAAAAACTTCTCCTAACCCGTAAAAGCTTGTGTGTCTGTTCAAAAACTTCTCCTAACCCGTAAAAGCTGAGACCACCAAATTTGGAATGCAGCTCCCTCTTATGATATCTTAAAGCAAAGTAAGGGTTTGGTTGTGCCAGGGCAATTGGATGTGCCTGGAATGTGATTGTTCCCATTATACAGAAAGGGAGGGGATGACTAGCAGGGACAGTTATACTGTATAATAACCACAGGAGGCAGCAAGGGACCAGAGATGAGGACTGGAATAGCTATTACCCCACTGATCCAGAAGAGGGCAGGGTGGAGAAAGGGACAGCTATCTACTCCATATTTCAGAGAGTTTGTCTGTTTCTGTGTCTTTCCATCTGTCCTCCAACCAGAGGACAGACCCTCCCTCCCTCTCAGCTGTGCCTGCTGCAGCTGCAGTGACCATGGACAGGTGTTTCTCACCTGGCCCAAAGCTGCTGAAGTGAGAGCGGGTTGGGGATGTCCTCTTTATTATTTTAATGCAATTGAACACAATTTCCTCATTTTCCTCTCTCTGCCCTGGGCAAGTCACACTTACCATGGTGATGGCCACTGAGAAACATAAAAGCAAGGTCCTAATTAGGCCTATATGCTGACTTCATAATGAAATCTAGAACTGGGTGGAACTGCTTTTTCTCTTAGCACAGTGCACAGATTGCCACATCCAGTGACTGGTCATTACGGACCCGATGCACCAGACCTGAAGAAGAGCTCTGTGTGAATGTGAAAGGTTGCGTCTCTCGCCAACAGAAGATGATCCAATAAAAGATACTCCCTTCCCCACCTTGTCCCTCTAATTCTGCTACTTGGCACACATACGGCTCACAGAGGTTGCACATGCAGGTCTCCTATAGGTAAAACAGGTTGAACCTCCCTGGTCCGGCTACTTGGCACACACACAGCTCACAGTGGTTGCATATGCAGGTCTCCTCTAGGTAAAACAGGTTGAACCTCCCTGGTCCAGCACCCTTGGGACCAGAGTGGTTTCAAACAAGGGAATTTGCCGGACCAGGAAAGATCAAGCAGCCAGGTACTCCAGGGGCTCCCCTCCTTGCAGTTGCCCTGGGAGAACCCGAAGTCCTGACTTTCTATGCCCACCAGCCGGCATCCAGGTTCTCCAGGGGCTCCCTTCCTTGCAGTTGCCCTGGGAGAACCCAAAGTCCTGACTTTCTATGCCCACCAGCCTGGCTCTGCTGCCCCCAACCCACCCACAGGGCTCTGATCCTGGGCTTCCCTGGCTCACGTGGGGTGGCAGCTGATCCTGGAGTTCCCCAGGCTCAGTCCCTCTGTGGGACAGCAGCTGCTCCCTGGGTTCCCTACCTCCGGCCGCCTGGCCCTGTGCAAGGTAACACCCACTCTTGGGGCTCTCTGCTCCCATCCCACATGGGAGGGCAGTCTCTCCCACAGCTCTCTACCCCCAGGTCATTGGTCCTGCCGCTTACCAGACTGACTGTCACTCTCAACCTCTTCGGCTTTCTGGCCTAGCAACATCCATGGGCCACAGATATTGCTGGACTACAAAGTCCCGGTGGAGAGAGGTTCAAGCTGTACTATGTAATTGTGTTATTGCCCATCAAAAATCGGGATCCCATGGTGCTAGACTCTACCCACACACACAGCAAGAGACAGTCCTTGCACTAGAGAATTTAGCATGTAGAGCAGGTAGACAATTTTCCTTCCAAGCATTTTTTCCAGTGCAAATGGCTTTTTCCATGAACAAAATGTTGCGATAGATTTTTGAACGGAAAATACCGGCATTCATTGAAACCCAAAACTCGGTTCGGCATTTCCAATTAAAACCTGAAATAAGAAGATTTTTTTTTACATGTTTTGTGTCTCAATTTTGGAGGAAGGAGGGAGAAGAATTCATTTTCCCACCAGCTCTGCTTACTATTGAACAAGCCAAAGAAAAGGTGGAGATTCTGAGGCAAAAACAGAATAAGTATCTTGCTCATGATCGCAAAAGATGTTTCAAGATCCAGAGAACTACTGTCTCTCCAGGAGCAACCTTCACATCATGACTTTTTACTAACTGAGCAAACTAGGTGAGACATTAGATCTGAAGCAAAACTCTAAAGAAGCTGGAACATCATGCTATAGAAAAGCAAACAGGGAGGTAATTGATTTCCCTTTTTAAAGGATCAAAACATCCCCCTTTTTCTACATCTAAGCAAACTGTACCAACATACAAGTGCTTTAATTACCAAAGTATGATGCAAACTATAATTAAAAATCTATTTCCCCAATGTGTAATTAGGCATTAGGAAATACTAACCAGTTTGGGTTCAACTCACATTTCAACCCATCAAATTAAAGCATGTGATTATGATGCAGAAATAAAAACACTTTATGATCTGATACAAATGTATATTATGAAAAATGTATAATAAAATATACCCCACTCATGCAATATGGAATCCAGTGAACAGACCAGAACATTCAAAAAACATCACTTTTAATGTTTTCTTCTCCACCAAGCTAATTTATTACAAGCAACCACTAAATAACAAACACATTTTAGTTCAATTTTTCCTCTATTTCTGTATGCACAATGTGAATAGACATCAAAACTTTGAATTTACTTAATCAGAATCATGTATTAATTTCCTCCAGACCCAGGTGGAAATTCAGAATCACTCTTACATACAGTCCCATTTTCAGAATTCAGCAAGGAAATATTTTCAGATGTAGCTCATTTGCAGGGGGGGACAATTAGCTTCGGAAAGTTCTGAGTGCTTGACTTCTGAAAATTAGAACTGTTTTAGGTTTCTTACAATAGATTCCCAAACACTAAGACTACCAAGAATTACTGGGCATGTTTAAAATCGAAGTCTAAGTCCCTTTCGAAAATGAGATTTTGACTTAAAAGTCTATGGAGTACTCTAAGATTTTACTAATAGTTCACTGCAAATCATCTTTTCTATTTCAACGTCAGAACCTGTGCAGCACTGGTTAGTAAACACAAGTCCCCTGGTAAAGTTTAGTTCCCCAACAGGCCTTCTGACACCATGCACATTTGGAATATTACAATCAAATATATCATTTGAAATGAGATAGAAATGTAGCTGTGTTAGTCTAGGGTAGCTGAAACAAAATACAGGACTATGTAGCACTTTAAAGACTAACAAGATGGTCTCAACAAAGACTCTAGTTATCTTACCCATTACAAAGATAGCTTCCCCAATTATCACCTCTAATATCATTAGCTCACAGACATTTACCTTCCCTCCCCCTCCCCCGCATCTCCCTTCTGTTCTGAAATTTGATTTGTCCTTTTCATATGTGTTCATTTTTTTGATTGTATCCTTTGGTATATATGGTTGTGACAATTTTCTTCCACTATTTGATCTGAGGAAGTGGGTCTGGCCCACGAAAGCTCATCACCTAATAAACCATCTTGTTAGTCTTTAAAGTGCTACATAGTCCTGTATTTTGTTTCATCATTTGAAATGTGCTTTCTGCAAATATTCAAGCATTCCAGGCCATAAAGCCAGACCGAAAGAATGTTTTCAGACAGTAAATATTAAAAAGTCACAATCACTGTTAAATTTCATTTTAAAGGCAGACAACTGCAACCTTCCTGTTGCTGACTCAGATCTAATTACAGATGTTATCTGGAAGGAACTAAATTCTGCTCAGGTGACTTACTGCAAAACATGCTCTTCTCTCCCTTATATAGATAAGTCACTTATTGATGTAATGAGAGAACCACACTGAATATCTGTTGGATAAGAACATCTGAGAATGTAAAGACCTGAGAGTAGAATTTTGACCCCTACCTTACATTTAAAAACTGAGCCAACTTGCTTGCTGACATATATGCATTATCCCACAGTAGGAATATAACTGCGCAACTGCCTTTATCCCCATCCTCTGCCCCCTCCAATCATCAGTAGTTCCCAGTCTGCTTGAGACACACGGCCAAGTGAGGGGCAATGAGAGGATGACTCCTGGCTTGGTTTAACGTTTAGGAAACACGTGTGATTATCGCTAGATTAGGGAGCCAAAATCATTTTATTTCTGGAAAACTAGCAAAAGGTCATTTGTGTAACCCCAGCAGGACGTGGGGAGGAAGGTTAACGAGGGAAGTTGGCAGGCCCACCAGACACGGAGGAAGGAAGAGCTCCAAGGGCTCTAAGAGAAGGAAGGGAAGTTCTAATGCAAATATTGACATTTTTCATTCAAAATGTTTTTCAATGAAAAAAAAAAAGCAGACTGTGCTTCAGAATTGGAAGTAATTGTGGAAATATTTTTGAAAAAAAACCCCACATCTTTCCAGTTTTGCATAAAAACCAACAATTTCCCAAATTATTCTTCTCTGGCACAGACTGCAATAGCATAACTGATCAATGATTGGATGATTAATCACCCCAGGTAAGCGTCTACTTTTTCTTATGCTACTCCCTCTCTTTTCAAAGTTACATCAATGATGGAAAAGTTACAGAGCAGCAAAAGGAAAAATGAAACACTAAAGACTAGTCTACACAAGAAGTGCTACAGAAGTACCCCAATGCAGCTGTACTGCTGTAGCATGGTTGGTGAAGACATTGTATGCTGACAGGAGCAAACTCTCCTTGGCATAATAAATGCACCTTGCTGAGGCCATGTCTTCACTAAACAGAAGATCGACACTGCCGCGATTGATCATCCCGGAGTTTGATTTAGCGAGTCCAGCTAAGACTCATTAAATCGAACTCAGAGGGAGACCCCACCAATGGCCAGTACTCCTGCTTGTGCAAGGAGTAAAGGAAGCTGAAAGGAAGCTCCCACTGATGGGATGACAGGGAAACTCAAAACAAGATACATCGACTCTAGCTATGTAATAAAGATAGCGGGAGCTGTATATCTTCATTCAACCTTCCCCTTTAGTATAGACCTGGACTGAGAGGCAATAATACGTAAGTGGGAAAAGCTGTCTCACCAACATAGTGCTGTCCACCCAGGTGCTTAGGTTGGTGCATCTATATCGCTCAAGAGAGTGGCTTATTCACACCCCTGAGTGATATAAGTTACACTGCAGTAAGTGGTAGTATAGACCTGGCCTCAATTACTTTGCAATGTTTACAAAGTTGGAGAAGTACTAAACATTAGACTTTGAGGCTTTCATTTCTCCTTTTGCTGCTTTGTAGCTTTTCAAATAGGTTTTGAAAAGTTATTGTGTATCAAAAGGAAAAGGGGCAGTGCACAAGTCTGGACATCAATTTATTGCAGTAAGTCAAGGGTGGTCAACTCATTCCAGACAAAGAGCCAAGATCAAGCTCAGCGCAAAGAGCTAGAGCAAAACAAACAAACAAACAAACAAACAAAAAGGATTGGCTCTTTAAGGAGGCTTTTTGAGGTGAGCAAATGGGAGCCGGGAGTCGTGAGCTGTGTTCAGGAGGTGCAGGTTTGGCTTCGTGAGCCTCGGGAGTGGCTTTACAATCCGCACTGACGGGGCGGAAGCTCGCGAGCTGCAGGATGGGAATACCTGCAGTAGGTGGTATAAAACAGTGTTTCTCAACCAGGGCACAAGTACCCTCAGCATAGTTGAGAGAAGTCTGGGGAGTACACCAACACAACTGATATTTGGAGAAAACTGAATTTTTGCTTTAAGTTTTATTCTTTTTATACTTTTTACACCCAAAAATTTCATCGCCCACCCGGCTACGATTTAGTTGTTTAAACAACTGTGTTGCAATGTTAGAAAAAAAAATTGTGTGTCTGAAAACTGTAGGTACTGGGGGTACTGATAAACTTTTTTTTGAAAAAGGGGATACTTTATAAAAAAAAGTTTAAGAAACATTGGTATAAAGGATAGGCGGGGAGAAAAATGGACATAAATACTACAAATGTCTATTTAAAAAAAAATCAGAAAACTTGGGAAAACCATTCCATAACATTTTGGGGCAAAGCAAACAAGTTTTGATGTATTGATCCAATGCTGCACAACTCTGAATGTTTTTGCAAATTCTTTTTCCCATTTTCAGCCAGTTCTCTTAAGACTCCTGATATGGGGCAACCTCTCCCACCCAACAGAGCATCTATCTGCATCTCTGGCTTTTCACTCAGTCTCTCAGGATGCAGAGAGAGTGTGAATAGAAAGGATGGAAGGGAAATGATGGAGATACTCAAAAGGGAGGAAGGCTGGGTGCGATGAGCAGGAGAATGTTGATGGTAGGAGGGTTTATTCAAATGAGGAAATGCATTCAAATCTTCACATTAGAATATTGCCTAATTAACATAAACTCCCCAGAATTCCAGACCTCCATTCTTAGCTGGCATGGTTAGGAGATGGTAGCACAGTACAGAAGTTGCTGTAAGTGGAAGATGACCAAAGACTGGGAGCGCCTGGATACCAGAGGAGACGGAGACTGACGGAAAGGAGTTCACTAAAACACAAGCCACAAGCAAATGCAGGCTTAGTGCTGACAGTAAAATGGAAATATCTGAGTTAATTCAGCTAGAGTTGGCTTGTCACCATGGGTAATTCTCAACAAATTCTTTAGATACGACCTCTAGTCTCCTGATACATTATTTGTTCCACGTTCCACTAGGCTGCATTACCATCAGGTAGCATGAGGCAAGACATTGCTTCGGTGTGTCAGAAGACACGTACCCACTCATGTCTCCGAGGACAGTCCAAGTGCTAAATTATCCATGCCATGCCAAACACCAAGGGCTACTTTTATTGGGCTCTTAAACCAGCTAACCTGAAACCACTCCCTTGGACTGCTTTCCTGAACCCTGCAGCCAGGGCAGGCTGCCCACGTTCCCAGGGGCAACGGCCCACATGTTAATCCTTCTGTGGTTTTGGGTTTGATTTCTGAGAAGAAAGAAATCCACACGCTACCCTGGCACACACCAGTGAGAGGCTCTGCATGCCTAAAAGCACGCCGTGAAATCTTAAAGGCCTGGAGAGTAACAGCCCATCGGAACTTAAAAATACAGCTCACAATTGCGTGTTTCCTCTCCAGTAACCACGTGTAACTGGAAAGGGGCTGGGCGGGGCGGGGAGAGAGAGCACTCGAGCATGAGGCTGCCGTTGCAATCAGAGCTACTGAACCGATTCTCAAGTGCCGTTCCTAAGTGGTTTCCCCAACACTCACAGTGGCGGGGGGACCATCCAGCTGCCGTGCGCCATGGTTTGACACCAGGATTCCATTCGTCCGCTGGAAGAAACAAGATTCAGACGTTGCGGCGAGGGCCATCCATGGAGAAATGACAGCAGCTGTAAAATGACCCTACGTTCATAAGACTCTCCCCAGGCCTCTGGCTTTTAACAGCGGAGATGTGCACCAGCCTGCAGACGGTTGTGGCAATCACTTGTGACCTGACCCGAATTCAAGTTAGTATTTGCATCCTTGGAAGAACACTGCAGGAGGCAAGAAGCTCTGAGGGAGCGATTGCTGCTCTCCTCTGCTGGCTGGCGCAGACTCTCATCGCACTCCTCTGCGATTCATCAAGACAGTTCGTGTGCTGTGTGCTTGACTGTTGTCTCAAACTATTAATAGCATTACATGAAGCATGGACTAGCATTGTCATCACCACACTATGTTCAGTGGGCTTCTGCATGAATGACAGAAGCTCCAGAAAGAAGCAAAGAAAAAGGAAAGTCCTGTTCTCACTTAGAATCATAGAGCTGGAAGAGACCTCAGGAGGTCATCAAGTCCAGCCCCCTGCCCAAGGCAGGACCAGTCCCAACTCCATCATCCCAGCCAGGGCTTTGTCAAACTGAGACTTAAAAACCTCTAGGGACGGAGATTCCACCACCTCCCTAGGGAACCCATCCCAGTGCTTCCCCATCCTCCTCGGGAAATAGTTTTTCCTAATATCCAACCTAGACCGCCCCCGCTGTAACTTGAGACCATTGTTCTGCCATCCGTAACTACTGAGAACAGCCTCTCTCCATCTTCTTTGGAACCTCCCTTCAGGAAGTTGAAGGCAGCTATCAAATCCCCCCTCACTCTTCTCTTCTGCAGCCTAAACAGGCCCAAATCCCTCAGCCTCTCCTCATAGGTCATGCGCTCCAGACCCCTAATCATTTTGGTTGCCCTCCACTGGACTCTCTCCAATGCATTCACATTCTTTCTATAGTGGGGGCGCCCAGAACTGGACACAATACTCCAGATGTGGCCTCACCAGAGCCAAAAAAAGGGGAATAATCACTTCTCTAGATCTGCTGGCAATGCTCCTCCTAATGCAACCTAATATGCCATTTGCCTTCTTGGCTACAAGGGCACACTGTTGACTCATCTCCAGCTTCTCACCCACTGTAATCCCCAGGTCCTTTTCTGCTGAACTGCTACTTAGCCAGTCGGTCCACACTTGGGACACACGCCGAGTGCCACTTGGAGCTGAGCTTGGGACTGCACATGCCCTGGGTAGAATCTCATCTATTTGTTCCCATTTCCTGTCGTGGCTGATTTCAGAGTCACCTACATTAGTGCCAACCCTGAGCAATGCTTTTAGAATGACTGAAAATGGAATATTGTGCTGATCTGGGAATTTGAGTTAAAATAGAAAACGAGGGTCTTCTAGAAGCTAGGCAGAAAAAGGAGGGTCCGACAGTGAAGGCTCTAGTCTGAGATTTACGATTCTGGTCTCTGTTTTGGTACAGACTGAGTGACCTGGGGCAAGTCACTCAGGCATTTTTGAAAATCTGAACCTAAATGTCTAAGCCTCCTAAGCAACCTTCCCTCTAATCTTTTCCACCGATGTGTGGAATAAATGATTGTATGTGTACTGAGGCACATGTCGATGTGCACCACCAATAGAATCCAAACCTAGCTGTGGGGTATTCTGCTGTTCAGCTGGGCTGCACTGGAATCTCTCCCGGGTGGCCACACAAGCACCCAGCTTTCAAGGAACACTTCTCCTAAGTGCCTACACCATTTTTGAAGATGGCGTTTAGGAGCCTCAGTCTCATCACACTTCAATAGGGCTTCGTACTGAAATAACATAGGCATTTAGGGTGTCTAAGTTAAGGATGTCGCTCCACCCCACCTCACTTGCTACCTGCAGCAATAAGGACTAGTCCATTAGTCACTCCACCCCACCTCACTTGCTACCTGCAGCAAAGAGCGGGGGGAAGAAGGGGTACTTCAAAGTGGCAGTGCTGCATCGTTGAGTAGGAGATCAGCTGTGCGGCTGCTGCTTTGAACAGCAAAGAGCGGGGGGAAGAAGGGGTACTTCAAAGTGGCAGTGCTGCATCGTTGAGTAGGAGATCAGCTGTGCGGCTGCTGCTTTGAAACCCCAAGGCGGCGTTTCAAAAGGGCAGCTGCCGCACAGCTAATCCGTGGCTCAGCTGTGCAGCGCTGCCCCTTTAAAACGCCGATGTGGAGATCAGGGTCAGCAGGGGACTCCCCAGCTGCGGCGATCAGGGTCAGCAGGGGACTCCTCAGCTATCCCCGGGTTCCCCACGGCATTTCTCTAGAAACTAGGATCCACTGGGGACTCCCTAGCGGATCCCAGTTTCTGCTGAAATGCCACACAGAGCCTGGGATCAGCTGGGGACTCCCCAGCTGACCCCGGGCTCCATGGCGCTGCCCCTTTGAAACACCGAGGTGGTATTTTAAAGGGCCAGCACCGCATAGCTGGCCCCAGGCTCCATGGCGCTGGCAGCTGCTGCACAGCAGCTCCCAGGCCCCCCACAGCATTTTAGAGGAACCTGGGATCAGCTGGGGAGTCCCCAGATGACCCCGGGCCCCACATGTCATGTAGCGCAGCATGGAGCCCGGGGTCAGTGGGGGACTCTGAGTCCCCCGTTGACCTCAGGCTCCATGTCTTTGAAATGCACAAGAGCCTCCACTGGGGACTCTTGTACATTTCAAAACAGTCACCTGCATGCAGCCTCGGCGTCAGCAGGACTTCCCACTGGCCCCGGGCTGCACATGAAATTCTGTATTCCTCCTTGGAAATGTACAAGAGCCCCCAGCCCTGGAGGGGCCGGGAACCTGGCGGAATGCAGGGGAAAGCAATGTGCAGCCCACAAGCCCATCTGGGCTGCAGGGAGCAGTGGGTGGGAGCTGGCACACGGCTCAGCGGGGTTGCTGTGGGGGGCCAGGAGCTGGCATATGGTTCACATGGGCTGCAGGGGGAGCCAGGAAGTCCAGAGGTGTGGCAGGGGGGGGGGGGGGGGGGGGAGCCAGTCTGAAAACCAGCTCCCTGCACAGACCAGCTAAAGTGATACAGAGGGGTGCCAACCAGGGAGGTCCCACCTGTACAAACCTCGGAGAATTCCTTTAGCGACGATCGGCAGGGATGTCAGTCGTCTGAGCCATTGAATGTCCTCCCACTTGATGGACGGATCAATCGCTTGGGCTACATAAACAGCCAGGCCACTATTTTCGCCGTAGCCCTTCTCAGAGGAAAAGGCCAAATCGTTGGTGTCAAAATTTTTCATTCTGAAGTTAGAGACAAAAGAAAATGAAACAGGAAAAAAAAAAAAACATTGAAAAGGAACCACGCAAGGAGTTCCATGCAGGCAGATTCCTGCCTCTGTAGAGCTCTTAAAGCAGGATCCAGGCCTAATATCGCTCCTACCCCCCTTCTCTGGGGCCCTGCCCCTGCTTGCTCTGTTGTCCTTCCTCCCTGAATCTCATTCACTTTCACCAGGTTGGGGTAGGGGTGAAGGCATCAGCACAGGGTGCTGGACTTGAGTCTGGTTCCCCCTGCCTTGGCAGCTCAAATCCAGCCCCACCCCCTCTTCCCATCCTGGGAGTGACCAGACAGCCAGCCCTGGATAAGGGACCCTCTGAAGGTAGGCAGGTGGTGCGGGTTCTTGAGTGGACTAGGGGATACAGCATTTGCGTGGGGGAGCACAGAGTTGGGGGCTTGCGTCCCGCCCACCCTGCGAGCAGCCAGACAGCCAACACAGGATAAGGGACCTTCGGAAAGTAGGGAGGTGAGCTCAGGGTGGTAAGTTCAAGTCCCGCCTACCCTGGGAGCAGTGGGACAGCCAACGCAGGCTGCCCCCGGGCTGGAGCTGGCTCCTGCATTAGGAAAGCAGGATAACGGGGGGCAAGCGTGTGCCTGCACTCTCCCTTCAGCTGCACCACTTATGCTTACTCCTGTTTGGCAGGAACTTCCTGAGCACGTTTTCAGTGATTCAGCTCTCCAGCCGAGCCACACTCCATTCTAGGTGTGCAACACAAATTAACCCCGCCCAGAGTACACAGTCCAACAGGGCTTCTCATAGTGCCTTGAGCTATGTCTCTCTCAGTAGCCCTGTCCTGGGCCTCGACCTTCCCTCAGTCCAACAGGGCCTATTCCAGAACCCTTGGTTGGTCTCTGATTCCTACTCCAGGCACAGTTTTCAACCCCCGCCGTGTGGTGGAGGCCCCCAGGACTTGCTCCCTGGACACACTTCTCTCCACAGCTAGGTTCACTGGCCTCAGCTCTTCAGCTAAGCCATGCTTGGTGGATTCAGTTCAGTCCCCATTCACAAATGCTGGCCCTCTCTAGGGTCTTCAGCCTGCTCCTTGAGGCCCGTGTAAACTCCCCTTCCTCAGGGCTTTGCCCACTCCACCTGTGGCTGATGGGAGCAGATCTGGACCTATCCAATACTCTGGGTCCCAACATGGGACCTGATAAATCGGAGCCACCTGCTGTGTTCCTTTTCCTCTGTGGCTCTTCTTCCCTGGGCCACTTCCCTTTTACCTTCACCCTTAGCTCAGGGATGAAGTCTTGCTTGAGTCCGCAGGCAGCCAGGCACACCTTGCTTGCTCTCCAGTCCCTATTGGGAGCTGCTCTGTCCAGCCCTAGAAATGCTGCAAATAGCCAGGAGCTCTGTCTTTGTTCTGCTAGCTTCAGCCAACAACTGCTTTGATCAGTCCAGCAGCTCCTTTTTACAGTAGGTAAAAAGGATTTGCTGCCCCTGTAGCCTCTCTCTAATTGACCACTCCCACCTGGCCGCTCTAGGCAGCCTGGAGGAGACATCTCTACTGGCTTATCAGATAAGCTCTAGGAGGCTTCATTAGCATTATTATAGGAGTGGCAGCAATTGATAAGAATGAAGGTTGCTTGACAATTTAGATTCAAAGTCCCCTTTTTATAGCTGTAGGTAACTTTCTGAAATGTTTGCCTTTTGAGCTGAGATAATGTTTTTTATTAGACGTAACTCCTCCCCTGTCCAGACATAGGTCGAGGAAAAAATAACTCCTCCCCCAACCTGTCTCTCTAGTATCCTGGGACTAGTATGGACACAATGATGCTGTATCTCTTTTGTACTGAGATTTTCCTTTCATGGCCACTGACCAAAGGTGTATTTTTTGAAAGTTTGAGGAAACAAAGATGCCGGTGTTTATTTGGGTAAGAGGAAGAGAGGCGTGTCATGTAGTTCTTGTGCATGGTAAGTTGCAGGGCGCTCTCTCCTGCTAGATATGGCCTGGCTACAGAGCTTCTTTCATAAATACATAAGAAATGTGTCTTTCATAACTATCCTTTAATGCACTTCTGCCTATAGCTGGAAAGGACAATCTGAAGTCCGAGGGCCGTGAAGAGCCAGAAACGACCTCCTCTGCTCTGGCAAAATCTCTCATCCGGGACCAGTCAGGACCCAAGGGTGCCAACCAGGGAGGTCCCACCTGTACAAACCTCGGAGAATTCCTTTAGCGACGATCGGCAGGGATGTCAGTCGTCTGAGCCATTGAATGTCCTCCCACTTGATGGACGGATCAATCGCTTGGGCTACATAAACAGCCAGGCCACTATTTTCGCCGTAGCCCTTCTCAGAGGAAAAGGCCAAATCGTTGGTGTCAAAATTTTTCATTCTGAAGTTAGAGACAAAAGAAAATGAAACAGGAAAAAAAAAAAAACATTGAAAAGGAACCACGCAAGGAGTTCCATGCAGGCAGATTCCTGCCTCTGTAGAGCTCTTAAAGCAGGATCCAGGCCTAATATCGCTCCTACCCCCCTTCTCTGGGGCCCTGCCCCTGCTTGCTCTGTTGTCCTTCCTCCCTGAATCTCATTCACTTTCACCAGGTTGGGGTAGGGGTGAAGGCATCAGCACAGGGTGCTGGACTTGAGTCTGGTTCCCCCTGCCTTGGCAGCTCAAATCCAGCCCCACCCCCTCTTCCCATCCTGGGAGTGACCAGACAGCCAGCCCTGGATAAGGGACCCTCTGAAGGTAGGCAGGTGGTGCGGGTTCTTGAGTGGACTAGGGGATACAGCATTTGCGTGGGGGAGCACAGAGTTGGGGGCTTGCGTCCCGCCCACCCTGCGAGCAGCCAGACAGCCAACACAGGATAAGGGACCTTCGGAAAGTAGGGAGGTGAGCTCAGGGTGGTAAGTTCAAGTCCCGCCTACCCTGGGAGCAGTGGGACAGCCAACGCAGGCTGCCCCCGGGCTGGAGCTGGCTCCTGCATTAGGAAAGCAGGATAACGGGGGGCAAGCGTGTGCCTGCACTCTCCCTTCAGCTGCACCACTTATGCTTACTCCTGTTTGGCAGGAACTTCCTGAGCACGTTTTCAGTGATTCAGCTCTCCAGCCGAGCCACACTCCATTCTAGGTGTGCAACACAAATTAACCCCGCCCAGAGTCCACAGTCCAACAGGGCTTCTCATAGTGCCTTGAGCTATGTCTCTCTCAGTAGCCCTGTCCTGGGCCTCGACCTTCCCTCAGTCCAACAGGGCCTATTCCAGAACCCTTGGTTGGTCTCTGATTCCTACTCCAGGCACAGTTTTCAACCCCCGCCGTGTGGTGGAGGCCCCCAGGACTTGCTCCCTGGACACACTTCTCTCCACAGCTAGGTTCACTGGCCTCAGCTCTTCAGCTAAGCCATGCTTGGTGGATTCAGTTCAGTCCCCATTCACAAATGCTGGCCCTCTCTAGGGTCTTCAGCCTGCTCCTTGAGGCCCGTGTAAACTCCCCTTCCTCAGGGCTTTGCCCACTCCACCTGTGGCTGATGGGAGCAGATCTGGACCTATCCAATACTCTGGGTCCCAACATGGGACCTGATAAATCGGAGCCACCTGCTGTGTTCCTTTTCCTCTGTGGCTCTTCTTCCCTGGGCCACTTCCCTTTTACCTTCACCCTTAGCTCAGGGATGAAGTCTTGCTTGAGTCCGCAGGCAGCCAGGCACACCTTGCTTGCTCTCCAGTCCCTATTGGGAGCTGCTCTGTCCAGCCCTAGAAATGCTGCAAATAGCCAGGAGCTCTGTCTTTGTTCTGCTAGCTTCAGCCAACAACTGCTTTGATCAGTCCAGCAGCTCCTTTTTACAGTAGGTAAAAAGGATTTGCTGCCCCTGTAGCCTCTCTCTAATTGACCACTCCCACCTGGCCGCTCTAGGCAGCCTGGAGGAGACATCTCTACTGGCTTATCAGATAAGCTCTAGGAGGCTTCATTAGCATTATTATAGGAGTGGCAGCAATTGATAAGAATGAAGGTTGCTTGACAATTTAGATTCAAAGTCCCCTTTTTATAGCTGTAGGTAACTTTCTGAAATGTTTGCCTTTTGAGCTGAGATAATGTTTTTTATTAGACGTAACTCCTCCCCTGTCCAGACATAGGTCGAGGAAAAAATAACTCCTCCCCCAACCTGTCTCTCTAGTATCCTGGGACTAGTATGGACACAATGATGCTGTATCTCTTTTGTACTGAGATTTTCCTTTCATGGCCACTGACCAAAGGTGTATTTTTTGAAAGTTTGAGGAAACAAAGATGCCGGTGTTTATTTGGGTAAGAGGAAGAGAGGCGTGTCATGTAGTTCTTGTGCATGGTAAGTTGCAGGGCGCTCTCTCCTGCTAGATATGGCCTGGCTACAGAGCTTCTTTCATAAATACATAAGAAATGTGTCTTTCATAACTATCCTTTAATGCACTTCTGCCTATAGCTGGAAAGGACAATCTGAAGTCCGAGGGCCGCATGTGACAGCCCATCGGGTTTCTGTGTTTGGCCTATGAGATATTTTGTTTACCGTTGCTCAGGCACAAGGCTGACAGATTCTACTGGCTTTCATCCACATAGGTTTTTTTTCCTATTGGTATTACGAAGGTGACGTGCACTTAAAGCCAGGTCACATGAAGTGAGGTACGTGTGTGTTACATGTGCTGATTGCACACAACACTGGCTGTGAGAGCCGTACACTCCTTCTGCATCCAATCAAAACACTGCTACTGTGCAATAGCATACCCTGAAAATTCTAGGCGCACAAGTGCAGTTACAAAACTACCCAATCCCAGGAGATCATCTTGATTACGAAAATCTTGTAAGATGAAGGAGAACCATTCACGTGGTCCACTCACTGGTCTAGGTTGCCCCTCACTAGCCTATAGGGCTATGCCTATGCAGTGGACCTATTGCAGAATACCTCCGGTATCCCGAAATAGCTATTCTGCGTCTTAAGAGCAAGCCCGTTATATCGAAATATAACAGGCTCACTATTCCAATGTCCCTGTAAACCTCATTTCACGAGGGATAAGGGACGTTTCAGAATAGCGCTTTATTTCAATATTTGGTGCTGTGTAGACAGCAACAAGTTTCGAAAAAAGCTATTTCGAAATAACATCAAAATAAGCTACACAATTTGCATAGCGCAAACTGCGTAGTTTATTTCAAGGTAAGGGTGCTGTGTAGACGCACCTTAGCTATTCTAACTCAAGTAAAGGAAGTTACACATGGTGCCACCTATTGGCTGAACAGTATTATACACTGTTTAGCATTCCAAAACCGGGTAGGAGGATCATAGTGGGTTTTGTTAAGCTGTGCCTTGCATATGGGTGGAGAAGAGTTCACCCTTGCAAAGGCTTGTGAAGATTCATCGTTTCATTTGTCCAACAAGCATGACATCATATCAATGGATGCTAGTTCCCTTGTGAAACACAAAGGAAGCCTACGACACTCCATATCGGAACATATATTACTGTTGCTTTTTGTATTACAGTAACACCCAGAGAAGCTAAGTGGACCCTGCTACATTAGGCTGCGCTTACCCCATCACCCAGTGGCAAAGCCATGAACCAATCTGTTCTGTGGCCCACGCCAATGCCATACCCACTAAACAACTCTGCCTTTTCAAAAAGTGGGTCCATTGTCCGAGGGCAGGAAGTTTCATTTTGCATTTCAATGAACAGTTCTAGGAACCAAATAATTTTTGCACGAAACTGCCCGGTTTCACTTCTCTGTTCGTACCTTGGGGCCGACAGTGCGGTGAAGAGCCAGAAACGACCTCCTCTGCTCTGGCAAAATCTCTCATCCGGGACCAGTCAGGACCCAAGGGTGCCAACCAGGGAGGTCCCACCTGTACAAACCTCGGAGAATTCCTTTAGCGACGATCGGCAGGGATGTCAGTCGTCTGAGCCATTGAATGTCCTCCCACTTGATGGACGGATCAATCGCTTGGGCTACATAAACAGCCAGGCCACTATTTTCGCCGTAGCCCTTCTCAGAGGAAAAGGCCAAATCGTTGGTGTCAAAATTTTTCATTCTGAAGTTAGAGACAAAAGAAAATGAAACAGGAAAAAAAAAAAAACATTGAAAAGGAACCACGCAAGGAGTTCCATGCAGGCAGATTCCTGCCTCTGTAGAGCTCTTAAAGCAGGATCCAGGCCTAATATCGCTCCTACCCCCCTTCTCTGGGGCCCTGCCCCTGCTTGCTCTGTTGTCCTTCCTCCCTGAATCTCATTCACTTTCACCAGGTTGGGGTAGGGGTGAAGGCATCAGCACAGGGTGCTGGACTTGAGTCTGGTTCCCCCTGCCTTGGCAGCTCAAATCCAGCCCCACCCCCTCTTCCCATCCTGGGAGTGACCAGACAGCCAGCCCTGGATAAGGGACCCTCTGAAGGTAGGCAGGTGGTGCGGGTTCTTGAGTGGACTAGGGGATACAGCATTTGCGTGGGGGAGCACAGAGTTGGGGGCTTGCGTCCCGCCCACCCTGCGAGCAGCCAGACAGCCAACACAGGATAAGGGACCTTCGGAAAGTAGGGAGGTGAGCTCAGGGTGGTAAGTTCAAGTCCCGCCTACCCTGGGAGCAGTGGGACAGCCAACGCAGGCTGCCCCCGGGCTGGAGCTGGCTCCTGCATTAGGAAAGCAGGATAACGGGGGGCAAGCGTGTGCCTGCACTCTCCCTTCAGCTGCACCACTTATGCTTACTCCTGTTTGGCAGGAACTTCCTGAGCACGTTTTCAGTGATTCAGCTCTCCAGCCGAGCCACACTCCATTCTAGGTGTGCAACACAAATTAACCCCGCCCAGAGTCCACAGTCCAACAGGGCTTCTCATAGTGCCTTGAGCTATGTCTCTCTCAGTAGCCCTGTCCTGGGCCTCGACCTTCCCTCAGTCCAACAGGGCCTATTCCAGAACCCTTGGTTGGTCTCTGATTCCTACTCCAGGCACAGTTTTCAACCCCCGCCGTGTGGTGGAGGCCCCCAGGACTTGCTCCCTGGACACACTTCTCTCCACAGCTAGGTTCACTGGCCTCAGCTCTTCAGCTAAGCCATGCTTGGTGGATTCAGTTCAGTCCCCATTCACAAATGCTGGCCCTCTCTAGGGTCTTCAGCCTGCTCCTTGAGGCCCGTGTAAACTCCCCTTCCTCAGGGCTTTGCCCACTCCACCTGTGGCTGATGGGAGCAGATCTGGACCTATCCAATACTCTGGGTCCCTGGGCCACTTCCCTTAGCTCAGGGATGAAGTCTTGCTTGAGTCCGCAGGCAGCCAGGCACACCTTGCTTGCTCTCCAGTCCCTATTGGGAGCTGCTCTGTCCAGCCCTAGAAATGCTGCAAATACACTGGTGCTCTGTCGCTTTGATCAGTCCAGCAGCTCCTTTTTACAGTAGGTAAAAAGGATTTGCTGCCCCTGTAGCCTCTCTCTAATTGACCACTCCCACCTGGCCGCTCTAGGCAGCCTGGAGGAGACATCTCTACTGGCTTATCAGATAAGCTCTAGGAGGCTTCATTAGCATTATTATAGGAGTGGCAGCAATTGATAAGAATGAAGGTTGCTTGACAATTTAGATTCAAAGTCCCCTTTTTATAGCTGTAGGTAACTTTCTGAAATGTTTGCCTTTTGAGCTGAGATAATGTTTTTTATTAGACATAACTCCTCCCCTGTCCAGACATAGGTCGAGGAAAAAAATAACTCCTCCCCCAACCTGTCTCTCTAGTATCCTGGGACTAGTATGGACAGAATGATGCTGTATCTCTTTTGTACTGAGATGTTCCTTTCATGGCCACTGACCAAAGGTGTATTTTTTGAAAGTTTGAGGAAACAAAGATGCCGGTGTTTATTTGGGTAAGAGGAAGAGAGGCGTGTCATGTAGTTCTTGTGCATGGTAAGTTGCAGGGCGCTCTCTCCTGCTAGATATGGCCTGGCTACAGAGCTTCTTTCATAAATACATAAGAAATGTGTCTTTCATAACTATCCTTTAATGCACTTCTGCCTATAGCTGGAAAGGACAATCTGAAGTCCGAGGGCCGCATGTGACAGCCCATCGGGTTTCTGTGTTTGGCCTATGAGATATTTTGTTTACCGTTGCTCAGGCACAAGGCTGACAGATTCTACTGGCACATGTGGCAGCCCATCAGGTTTCTGTGTTTGGCCCATGAGATATTTTGTCTACCGTTGCTCAGGCACAAGGCTGACAGATTCTGCTGCTTTTCATCCACATAGGTTTTTTTTCCTATTGGTATTACGAAGGTGACGTGCACTTAAAGCCAGGTCACATGAAGTGAGGTACGTGTGTGTTACATGTGCTGATTGCACACAACACTGGCTGTGAGAGCCGTACACTCCTTCTGCATCCAATCAAAACGCTGCTACTGTGCAATAGCATACCCTGAAAATTCTAGGCGCACAAGTGCAGTTACAAAACTACCCAATCCCAGGAGATCATCTTGATTACGAAAATCTTGTAAGATGAAGGAGAACCATTCACGTGGTCCACTCACTGGTCTAGGTTGCCCCTCACTAGCCTATAGGGCTATGCCTATGCAGTGGACCTATTGCAGAATACCTCCGGTATCCCGAAATAGCTATTCTGCGTCTTAAGAGCAAGCCCGTTATATCGAAATATAACAGGCTCACTATTCCAACGTCCCTGTAAACCTCATTTCACGAGGGATAAGGGACGTTTCAGAATAGCGCTTTATTTCAAAATTTGGTGTTGTGTAGACAGCAACAAGTTTCGAAAAAAGCTATTTCAAAATAACATCAAAATACACAATTTGCATAGCGCAAGCTGCGTAGTTTATTTCAAGGTAAGGGTGCTGTGTAGACGCATCTTAGCTGTTCTAACTCAAGTAAAGGAAGTTACACATGGTGCCACCTATTGGCTGAACAGTATTATACACTGTTTAGCATTCCAAAACCGGGTAGGAGGATCATAGTGGGTTTTGTTAAGCTGTGCCTTGCATATGGGTGGAGAAGAGTTCACCCTTGCAAAGGCTTGTGAAGATTCATCGTTTCATTTGTCCAACAAGCATGACATCATATCAATGGATGCTAGTTCCCTTGTGAAACACAAAGGAAGCCTACGACACTCCATATCGGAACATATATTCCTGTTGCTTTTTGTATTACAGTAACACCCAGAGAAGCTAAGTGGACCCTGCTACATTAGGCTGCGCTTACCCAATCACCCAGTGGCAAAGCCATGAACCAATCTGTTCTGTGGCCCACGCCAATGCCATACCCACTAAACAACTCTGCCTTTTCAAAAAGTGGGTCCATTGTCCGAGGGCAGGAAGTTTCATTTTGCATTTCAATGAACAGTTCTAGGAACCAAATAATTTTTGCACGAAACTGCCCGGTTTCACTTCTCTGTTCGTACCTGAAACTAGCTGAATTTCAATTGAATTTCAGCTTTCATTATGCCGCTCCAATTGTAGGATTAGAAAAAAATGAAAGGGAAACAGTCTGCATCCTCGCTCCACTTTCCAAGTAAGATCCAGCTTTTCAGCACTTGGTTTGTGGAGTGGATAGGAAAAAACAGAACCCCGGAGAACATTATATCAAGAACTGTTATTTTTCTTGGCTTTGTGAAATGCAGATCAACACTTGAATGAATGCTGCCGTGCATCCATTTCTGAGCACAATGGCACCTTGTTGTTACTCAACATTTCTTGGAAGTCTGAAGCCAAGAAAAAGTTATCAGATAACTTGACAAAAGCATCGTACTGGAGAATTTCTCCTATGAAACTAATAGCTCCATGAATGGTGTTCTATTTTTTTCCACTTGAATTGCTCTATTTCAGCATTTAAATGAATTCTCTGGTGTTAGAAGTTTTCACAAGGTTAATTCGCTGGAAAGCAGATTTTCATTAAGGTAATCCCCCCTCATGGGGCCAACTGTTTCAGAAATGTTCTACCAAGTCTGACTATCCAGATGCTCAGAGATATAACTTGTTTCATTAGCTGTAAGCGATGCAGTGGGTAGAAAGAGTTGTAGAAAAGAGATCTTCATTATGGGTGGATTCCCCTGTGGATCACCGAACTAGCTCTCTCCTGAAAGTGGACCCTTTCTCTCCATGCCAAATCACTGTACTACAACATCCAGGTTGCTTTGTTTTTAATCCGGAAGAATTGCCCTTTCCTTCTCTCTCCCCTGCTTTTAATTCTCCCACCCATACTCAAGACATTTTACCTCAGGGTTGGTCTCAAGAAGGCTCCTAGAGGTGGGAGGGGTGAAAGCATGACAGACATGCTCAGCTCCTCAGTGATAAAGGGAAGTGTGACGCACCTAACCTGGAAAAAACCGCCTTCCCCCCGAAAAAGGAACCACCCAAAGCAACACACAACTTTGGAGCAGCAGCGATGGCCACTGGAGATGCGTATGTCCTAGCTGAAAAAGGACTTTCCAGACCCGCAGGCTGATACATACCTGAGGTGTGGAGGAAGCTGGAATCTGTTGCGTACGTCGTCAAAGCGCTTGCCAAGGAACGGCGTGTCCACCGTCACGAAGATTCCTTTGTAGCCTGCTCTCTCAGCACGCTGCACGAGAGACCTGGTAACCTCCCGGTCCTTGTAGATGTAAAGCTGCAGCCAGTGAAGGCCATCGGGAGCCGCCTGGGCAACTTCTTCAATGGTGGAGGTGGCCCAGGAGCTGAGCATCATCCCTGTCCCCACTGACCTGCATGCTGAGGAGCAGAAGTTAGGTTAGTGCCTGTTGTTCATCGGCGGGGCCCCTTTCGTGTTGGCAACTTGTCAGATATCACCACATTAAAAACGGCAGCGCTCCATAACCTGTGCTGAGAATCACCCAGGAAGTGCTTGCTTAGGTCCCTATTATTACGGGCTGTGACAAGGCAAGGCAGCCCCGCACTGAGCCTGCAGGGCCCAGTCAGGGTTACCTAGCTGCAGAGGCCCCTCCCCTGCAGCCCTACAGAGCATGCCCAGACTGTAGCTCCACTATAAAAGCCTGGGGAAGGACTCAGTCAGGGGTGACAGCCGGAGGAGAAGGACCTGTGAAGGGAGCTCCCGCACAGCTGTCACCAGAGACTCCAGAAGAAGCTGGTGGGGACACGGAGGTGAGCTGGTGCACCCCAGAGACTGCCCACCGAGGAGACACCGGCCCGGAGGCTGCAGCAGGTTGGACAAGTACATGGGAAGGAACTCCAGTGAACCAGATAGGAAGTGGCCCAGGGCAGGAGCGGGAACTGCCTCTCCCGCCCTGAGAACCTCGGCCCGTTTTGGCCGGATTGCCCCACTGAGGGAGTGACCCGCTACCCGATCACTCACAGAGCCCTGGGCTGGGACCTGGTGGAGAAGGGTGGGCCCAGGTCCCCCTTCCTGGGGTGCGTCCCTGCTACAACCCTAAACTGTGTTTCGGACTCAGGCCGGAGGGCCAGGCGGGAGTGACCCGCCACACAGACCCAAATACAAAATCACAACTACAGGCATCTATTTTGGATCGATAGTGTCAAGCTTCCACCCCCACTCCCAACATGCACAAAATTCAACAGGATTCCATTTCCTGTTTTAGCTGAGCTACACTTGAACGATCTTAGCCATGTAAAGGGATTTAAAAGCACAATATTTTTAGCCTTTCAAAAAAAAAATCTATGAAGCTTTTGGCTTTTGTAAAACAACTTCAGAGACTTAAAACCATTTTTATAACAATGGTGAAATGAATGGATAACTCTGAAGGAAATGGATCTTCCATTATGTGTCCTCATAAGTGCGATTCACCTCTACGGGAGTTACAGTCTCAATAAGGACGACAAGACAGTGAAATGAATCCCAGCCGAACATGATCTGAATAGCCAGAGTAACCCCACTGATCTTAATGATAATATAGCATGCTGTTGGGGGAAGGGGCTGGCATCCTGTCCCGTGAGGACAGTCCCCGCTGGGGGCAATACTCTGGCCTGATCACCAGGCAGTTGAAGTCAACCTCCATGATTGAAAGGCCTGTAAGTCAGCCTCCACGGTGACCCTGTGTGACAGGAGTGCTGGGGCATGGTGTTATGGGTCCTGAGCAACTCCTTAACCCTTTCCTCCCCAGCGTGTGGCTTGTATCATACAGGTTAGAATCCAGTGGTAGATCTTCCTCCTACTCTCCTCAAATCAATTGTGATTCTTACCACTTAAAACACGGGATAAAGAGACAGATTAAGGCAGAGGAGGGGAACTATTTTTGGGTTGGGGGCCACCGACCCACAGAAAAATCTGTTAGGAGCCACACACAAGGGAGAAGCAAAAAAACAAACAACCCCCACTGACGTGGCCCCCAAATGAGAAGGAGAAAGACCCTCCTCACATTCCCCTCACACACCAGAGCCTAGGGGGAGCCAGCCGAATAGATTCTGAGTGCTCCAGCCCCATGGTGGGGCAGCGAGGAGGCTGGAGTACCAGCTAGGCTCACCAGTGCTGGAGGGGATCCTGACTCTTCGGGGGCCAGATCCAGGCAAGCCAGGGGCCGCATCTGGCCCCCGAGTCTGAGGTTCCCCACTCCTGGATTAAGACTCAATGGTCCAGAGCCACCAAGAAGCGGGGCCAAAACCCTAATTTAAGTAGAGTGGAGAGGTTGACACAGAATCCTTTCCACAATAACAGCTCCACCTCCTTGGAGCCCTTTTCTTACCTAGACAGGACCGAGCTGGGGTCCCACTCCCAGTTAGCAATATGGGCAAGGTCTGTTGGTCATAACCTCTAGGTTCAGACCCCTTGGGGAAGCACATTCAAAGGAATTTATTTCCTAGGGCTTGGCTTACATAGACTGACTCAGATTGTTCATTGCCCTATAGGTTTCTTGGGAGGTTGACTAATTTAGTTTTCATTTCTCCGAGGGAGGCTCTGCCACCATTTCCAGCCTTGGGGAGACCCTTTGGAAAGGGCTACCTGAATGGCCAGTCCATCCAGTCTGACCCAAATCCGTCACTAAATAGATCATCTTTAGGTCACCGGAAAGTGCATTATTTTGGTTCAACGGGCTGTCCTTCAAACACGGTGGCATTTATGGAGAGAAGTAACTATGTTTTCCAAGCTGTATTTTCTAAGAAATAACATTGTTTGAAGTGCCTAAAGTTATTTGCTTGATGAATCACAGTTGGCCAAGAAGGCCCCTGCAATGACTTGCTCAAGAAAACACTCGATGCCAGCTGTGCCTAAAATCATTTTGTTGACAAAATGAATTTTGTCATCTGTGCAGGAAGTCATTATGGAGCGGGGAAAATATGCAGTGACAAAGTACAAAATGGTTTCTACTGATCTAAAAAAAAATCAGCCTGGAGCATTTATACAAACATGCCCGATGAAGACCGGGGGTGTAACAAGCCCCTTCCATGGTTCTGTTTGCCACTGGCGCTCCCATGAGCTCCGACTAGCCCCTTTTGCCAGCACTGGCATGGTGTGTTGAATGAACGAAATGACTCCGCTGAGATTTTCCAGAAGTACGGCTGAGAAGCCAGTGACCTAACGGGGAGTGAGGCACGCTGCTCTGCCAACTGCAGCAGACTTGGAGTACTTAGGAGAAGACACACACGATGAACGGGTAAGCTCTGTTCTCAAATGCGTATGGAACACACCTCCCTATAAAATAGGGAAGACTGGGGGGTGGGATTTTGACCCGGTTTCTACCTGGTTTGTTTTTTAAGTGCCAAATTATGGCCTGGCCATAAATAACGCCCCCCCCCCGCTCTGCCAACTGCAGCAGACTTGGAGTACTTAGGAGAAGACACACACGATGAACGGGTAAGCTCTGTTCTCAAATGCGTATGGAACACACCTCCCTATAAAATAGGGAAGACTGGGGGGTGGGATTTTGACCCGGTTTCTACCTGGTTTGTTTTTTAAGTGCCAAATTATGGCCTGGCCATAAATAACGCCCCCCCCCCCCCCCCTGAGTAGAGATGAGCAACTCGCTGCCCTCTGCTGACAGGGCAGGCAAAAGAGAGAACAACCCCGGAGCTCAGCCATTTCCAAAGGGCCCAGGGCTCCGTGCTGCTGCCACAACTACAGCTGCAGCAGTGCTGGCCCTTTAAATCACCACCAGAGCACCACATGGCGAGCTCCTGGCAGCTCTAAGGGTTTGGGGGTGGCAGGCAAGCTCTGGGCAGCACCGAGGGCTGGCTGCTCCCAGCCCCACCCAAGGCCCCGCCCATCCCAGAAGCATGGAGCCACCCTCCCGCCCCCAAGGGGCCTGTTGTGGCTGTTGGCTCCCCTGTCTCTGCACGGCCTCCCCAGATTCCTGCCTCAGGGGCAGAAGGGGGGCTCCTCAGCCCTTCATGCAGAAAGAGATGAGAGCAGAGAGAGCCAGGGCTCGTCCCCACCTCACATGCCAGTAGCGCTGAGCTGGCGGGAGTCGCTTTGTTCCTTCCCTCACCTCCTGGCTGATGCTCAGTGGAGCTCAGTGAGCCCATGGGACAGAGGAAACATGCCTATGAAAACCAAAGAAGTCAGGGGGGAAAAAGGAGGCGGTCTCTTGGCGTCCAATCCCGAGGACGCTTGGATGTCTTGTGCCTGCTGAATGGTGGCCAGACCCCCGAAGGAGATGTAGTCATTAGCAGAGTTGCTGTGTCTCAAAGCTGGACTTGCTATGCTTGCCACCTGACCTAACTCCACCCACACGGAGAGTCACATCAAAGCATCCGTAGTCCCCAGTCAACAGCCTTACCAAGGAACTAAAAGGCCTCCTTTGGGCAGAGAGCCCCATGTAGGTGGGTGCTTCCTCTGACGCCTTACAGCAGCCAGTCTCCTGCTGGAAAAGAATGAGGCCCATACCATAGAGCAAGTTCTCACAACAGGAGAGACACACGATCCCCAAACCCCACCCCTTCTGCCTGAGGCCCGCCCCTTCTGCATGAGGCCCCGCCCCTTCTGCATGAGGCCCCGCCCCTTCTCGGCATGCAGAGCCCACCTGCCTCTACTTTGCCCAGGGGACTGGCAATTCTGTCAGCTCCCGGGATCTGTACTTTGAGAGGATACGCAGGCTTCCAAAGCGGTATAGAAAATATGAGTTAAATATTTAGAGGTAACTCAAGACCAAAACCCTGCCCCTGATGCTCCCAGCCAGATGTGCACATTACAGCTACTCCCTATTGCTGTCATTGGCCGAACCAAAAGCTTAGTTCCACCCAGACTTTAAGGGCGTTCAAATTTGGACCCAAACTTTGCAATAGTATATGTGAATGCAACAAATCTTTCCCTTATCTGAGTACATTATCAGCATCATCAGATATCAAACAGAGACTTATTTGACCATACACTCAGCTAACAACTAGCTTTTCTAGAGTGCTTTTTCTCTCTAGATCTCAAAGCACTTCTCACTGGTGTAAGAATCAGGCGTTTTTTTCTTTTCTGATTTAAAACTCCAGAGCAAGGGTGGGGAACCTAAGGCCTGCAGGGCTGGATGCAGCCCTCTGGCTTGCCTGGATCCGGCCCCAGGAGCTTATGGCTCCCCCCCAGCATTAGGGAGCCCACACTGGTGCTCTAGCCTTCCCCTTCCACCCCACCACAGGGCTGGAGCACACAAATCTACTAGCCTGGATCCCCCTAGACTCTGGTGTGCAAGGGGAACGTGGGGAGAGCCTTTCTCCTTCTCACTCAGGGGCCACGTCAGTGAGGTGTTGACAATTTGGAGGAGTTGGGGTTTATTCTCATTTGTGTGCGGACCCCACCTGATTTTTCTGTAGGTCAGCAGCCCCCGACCCAAAAAATGTTCCCCATCCCTCCTCCAGACAGTTCAATATCTGATCATCTGGCGGTGTTAGGCACACAAAAATCAGCACTCCCCCAAAGGAAAGTCCCTCAGACGTCCCCAGCCACGCCTCAGCCCTTCGGGATAGCAGTTTGCATTGCTGTACTGGGGAAGGTATAACGGGGAGTTGGTCCTGGTGTCTGGCGGAACCAGCTGGGGAATGGGCGGAATTTTGTGCCTTTTACATCTCAGCCATAACACAGACTTAACATGGTTGCATTTAACAGCAAATCTGGCTCACCGTTTCCTCAGTCATGTCCTGTCATAGCAACCGTGGCCAAAAATATCTAAACAAGTTGTCAGCTGACCAGTCATTTCTACAAAAACTGACAGTGCGGGAAGCTCTGATCTGACTTTACTATCCCCTATTAAAGGGACTAGAGCACCACCATGTGGAAAATAGCTGTGTAACTACTCCTCTCCCAAGAGGCAACACTGCTTTAAACACAGTCCAACTCTCCATCACATCACCTTGCTCTTACAGAGTTCCAGCTGCAGGCTGAACACGAAGGAGCAATGAAGGCCGGTCTTAATAGAAGGGCTACAACTGAGAGAGTCTTCGAATGCTGGGGTGAATCACTGTCACCCCAGCAGTCTCTGTGCACAGCGATGCCAACCACTTTTTGCAGATAGATCTCAGTCCGCCAATAGCAATAAAACCAGATCCAGAGTGGCTAATTAATAAGGAACAGACTCTGGCATTTTCTGCTTCTAGCCTGGGAGAGGTAGCTACCTGGATAGTTCATGCGTGCACCTTGCCCACCCAATGCTGGGATTTTACCTGGTGGTCCCAGATTTGATCGCCTAGCTCAAATTAACGAGCTAGTGTGGCGTGCAGGGAGGCACGGGAAATGGGATGCAGGGAATGGGAGGGGCAGAGGGATTGGGGTCCAGAGGCAGTGCGGGGAATGGAGGGGCACAGGGAAAACAGGCTGTGGGGTGCAGAGGGGGCGCAGAGCCAGAGGGGCGCAGGGAACAGGGAGAGCAGGGGGACTGGAGTGCAGGGGAGCAGGGTGCGGGGCAGCACGGAGCCAAAGGGGCAGGGGCAGGAGCCGCAGAGGGGTGCGGGGTGGGGCGGGGCGGGTGCAGCAAGCCAGGTAGCTGGCAGGGAGGGATCTCTCACTAGTGAAGGGGGCTGGAGCCGTGGCAGGGGGGGGGCTGGTGGGGCGGGGGGGGGGCCGGGGCCGGCCGGGCCGCCAAACCAGAGCCGAGCTCCCTTTAAAATTGGCGGGGTGAGGCTGGGCATTGACCGGGGTGGCTGCTTACCTGGGACCGCCGCCCCTGGAAACGTGCCACCCCAAGCACGTGCTTGATTTGCTGGTGCCTAGAGCCAGCCCTGATTGGAGTAGCTCCATGGTGCAATTATGCCACTTACCCTAGTAGAGGATCAGGTGTCTGAGCAGCTCCAATGAGCACAGGCTATTATCTGCTTGTACACGGGCTTAATGATCAGGGTGGCTGCTTACCTGGGACCGCCGCCCCTGGAAACGTGCCACCCCAAGCACGTGCTTGATTTGCTGGTGCCTAGAGCCAGCCCTGATTGGAGTAGCTCCATGGTGCAATTATGCCACTTACCCTAGTAGAGGATCAGGTGTCTGAGCAGCTCCAATGAGCACAGGCTATTATCTGCTTGTACACGGGCTTAATGATCAGGGCTTTAAAACGCTCTGACAGCTGTTCTTTGTCAATCATGTGTAGATGTTTTGAACACCGGCTTGTGAAATGGTTATTAACTTGGGCCCTCTGCTGAATCATTTCCCATTGTACATTGGATTTCTCATCACTGTGGCACACGGAGGGAGAACAAAAAAAAATATCAACACAAACCCAGAAAGACAGCCACACCTGAAAGCCTTCTGTAGAAAAGAATCACTCGCAAGAAACAAAGATGCATGAGCTGTACACTCAATGTCACTCCATTCAGCTCTTGGATTTGCGAGAGAGGTTTCTCTATTGCTGTGACTCACCTCTGGCGGTAGCGGTTTCTCCATCCACGTGAGCCATGCGCTGCATGGCGGTTGCTCCGACACATATTGGCATACTGATTTTCTGCCCAAAAATAGAGGTTGACAGGTCCACTACAGACACATCCCTGAGCATCCGTGGGTACAGCCTCCATCTGACATAAAGGGAGCGGGAGGAAAAATGACTATATTATTCACAGCCCGTAACGAACAAGATCATTGGGGAGAAATGTCAGGAAAGGCTGAGAAGAGAAGGAAGTCCTGAGAGCTATTAGAAGGGTAGGGATGGTTCATTAAAAGCTAGGGAGGGACATGGCTTTGGTTTACTTTCCCAGGTCTCTGTGAAGTGGATGAAATGGGCAAGGCAAGGCAGGAGAGGGAATCAATAAAGGAGAAAAGCGGCGCAGAGCACTAGAGCATTATCAGCTGATGCGCTATTAAAAAACGGCCAGCAGATGCCAAACAGATCAATGAGTCTTCATCCCAGAGCAGAGATTGGTGTGCGTTAGCGTCAGATAGGCAGAAAAGACATTATCACTCAATGGCCCTCACTGATTTCCCTCTGTGGGACTGAGAGCCTCTGGAAACAAGCATTTCATGAAGAATGGTACAACATGATCCGTGATCTCATCTCCTTTGTCCCTGTGTGGTTGCCACTCTATGCTTTGGCCATCTATAATCTGACATGTTCTGTCCTTACGGCCAGGTTATCTTACCCCCTACCCACCCAGTCAGTGAACTAAGGAAGTCTCAGGTGAGGCTTTCACGCCATGGCACGGACTTGCTGCTTCATCGCTGGTGACCTTCTGGAGAGAATCCATTCCACTGGGCCGCTCTTTCAATGCAGATTATAAAATTACTCTGTTGGATTAGCTGGATCTGTTTTCTAGTTTAATTTTTGCCAACTCAATGGCTGCATGAAGTGGAAAATGAGTCGACTGGTGATCAGCAAATAACCTCGCCAGTGAGCGACTGAGAGACACAGTTAATTTGTCGTCCTGTGGCACCTTAGAGACTAACCAAAATACACAGAATCATGAGCTTCCCTGAGCAAAACTCACTTCATCCGATGAATTGGAATTGACTCCAATTCATCAGATGAAGTGGGTTTTGCCCATGAAAGCTCATGAGCCTATATATTTTGGAGACTAATCGAGGGGCCCAGGACTACTCATTGTTTTTAAAGTTACCTGTCATGATTATGAGGGTTAACCCCTTAATCCCCAGGCTGCTGGCTAACTACACCTAGCCAGGTGGAGTGACCAATAGGAATGTAGGTGGGACTTTTCAAACTGGGACAAAGGAATTTGGGTTTTTTTCCTTTCTCCTTTTTTTTGTCTCAGAGTTCTCTGCAGCTACAGAGAGGGACAAGCATGTCTCTCTCTCTCTCCGAGACACCATTCTTCATTTTCTGTAAGTAGGGTAAAGTTTAGGTAGTTTCGTTAGGTTTTATTGTTTTAAGGATTGGGTATGGGATCTGAGATCTGGCACTGCTTAAAAGATGTTTTGGCTTTTCTTTGTAACTAAGTTCTAGGCCCATGGAGTTACTCCATGAGTATATTTTGTTACCTCCCTATCTAGTCATTATGTTTGCAACGGGAAATCTTACCCCTAAAATAAAAATCAGGGCACAACCACTGCCAGGTTAATAAAAAGAAAAGAAAGAACTTTTATTATTACAACAATATTCCTGTTGCAAACATAATGACTAGATAGGGAGGTAACAAAATATACTCATGGAGAAACTCCATGGGCCTAGAACTTAGTTACAAAGAAAAGCCAAAACATCTTTTAAGCAGTGCCAGATCTCAGTTCCCATACCCAACCCTTAAAACAATAAAACCTAACGAAACTACCTAAACTTTACCCTACTTACAGAAAATGAAGAATGGTGTCTTGGAGAGAACGAGACATGCTTGTCCCTCTCTGTAGCTGCAGAGAACTCTCAGAGACAAAAAAAAAAGGAGAAAGGAAAAAAACCCAAATTCCTTTGTTCCAGTTTGAAAAGTCCCACCTACATTCCTATTGGTCACTCCACCTGGCTAGGTGTAGTTAACCCCTTAATCCCCAGGCTGCTGGCTAACCCTCATAATCATGACACGGACTAACACAACTACCCCTGAGATTGCAAATTTGGTGTGCACCGTGCAAATATTGAGAGGAGTGACATGTGAACACGGTGACTTATAAAGCGCTTCTTTTAATTTTCAGGCAATTAGGAGAAGTCTGAGTAGCAGGGAGGTGGGGAGGAAATGGGCAAAGCCTTGACTTTCCCCGATTTTCTCCACATCAAAGCCAGGGCTCATTGCAGAGAGAAGAAATTACTTATTATTGATCTGCACCAGCACCTAGATTACTTCCTTCCTGGCGCGAGTGGGGTGGGATGGTATGAATCGAAATGCTCCGTTTGTGGCCCGATCTGCTCGTGACCAAAAACAGGCTGCCCCTGAGACTAGGTTGACCGTGAAATGACAATCTGCTCTGGAACGAGTCGGTCAGAATCCACCTGACCATCCCAGTCCCTGCCTTGGAGTCCCTCTATTTCAGTTCTTGGATATAACGCCATCCCAGAGCGCCCTGATATGGTTCCTTATAAAGGCCACCATCCCAAAATGGATGCCAGGAAATTTTATTCCAAACCAGAGCAACCCAAAAGGCTCCGACAATAAGCAACTCAGGGCAGGGAGTCTTTGTATTGCCTCTATCACAGTGGAGTCCTGGTCCCCCTCGTGCAACCCCCCTCACCCCGGTGATGTCACAATCTGAATAACAAATATGAATGTGGTGACATTGACACTGGGCTGGCTTTCCAGTCATGCTGACTGTGACCAACAGGCTGAGTTCTGAAAGGTAACAGCAAAGAGATGGAGCCTTTATTACTACAGGCCACAAGAGGGTGTGCATTAGCAGGTATTGGTGTATGTCCCAAGTGCCTTGAGAGACGGGAAGAGGGAGGGCTGGAGGCTTTCAGCACTCAGGACAAGACACGCCTGCATCAGTATCTCACTAATGCACATGCTGCAATTATTAGATTGTGGCTCCTGAATTTTAACGGAAGAAAACTAACACAAAGATGCCCAGTTCCTTCTCCAGCACTGCTGAGATCAGCCATTCATGCGGCACTAAAGTCATGGGATTCCCATTGAAGCACACTTCTATTATTATTCTTATTATGGTTTCATGTAAATGCTCCTATGATCTAGGCATTATGAAGTCAGAGTGAGAGGAGGTCCCTCCTCTGAAAAGTTTACTATCTAAGGCCAGTTTTACACTAAGGGAGAAAGTTGACCTAAGATACCAAACTCCAACAACATGATTAGCATAGCTGGAGTCTACGTATCTTAGGTAGAATTTCTGCTGTCTCCCCGCTGTGGGAGGTCAATGGGAAAAACTCTCCTGTCAACTTCCTTTACTCCTTGCAACCCAGTGGAGTACTGTGGTCGATGGGGGTGCCATCAGCAGTTGATTTAGTGGGTCCTTACTAGAAGCTATGCATGGGATGCATCCAGGTCACTTAATTAGCCTCAGTAACACGGGTCCTACAATCGACAGATACTTCTGTGGTTATACATATCTCTTGGTTTCTGTTACTTCCACTCCCATTCCTCTGATGAAGTGGGATTTGCCCACAAAAGCTCATGATTCTATACATTTTGGGTAGTCTCTAAGGTGCCCAGGACTACTCGTCGTTTTTAAAGTTACAGACTATCACGGCTATCTCTCTCAGATTTTCTACCAGAGTAAGTTAGCACATGCAATAAACCCCTCTCAGTTCAAACATACCTCTGGAAGCGGGATTTGCCAAAAGAGAGAACTTGTTGCTCCTCAGCAAAGTGCTTTAGTTTTGCAAAGGCAACGTTCCTCTTTGTTCCTTTGAACTTTGATATAAAATGCAAAACAAACCTTTTTTTAAAAACTGACAATAAATGCTTGTTTAAACCTGTGCTCTCAAACTTCCCCAACAGATATGACCAGTCATTTGAATGACCTTAATACCTAGTCACAACGCAAGGATCATGTGCTGCATCTTTGGTAAACAAGCTGTCATTGTCCCGTGTACATATCCCTGAGTGTAATGACTCTTGTTCCAAATGCCTTTGGAAAGTTCATGGCAGAGTGTGTCACAACAGGTTATCAGAGATTTCATCCCTCCACCTCGCTCCCCAACCACTGCTCTTCATTTAAAATGCTGAAAGAGGAGATTTCAGATTGATTTCTTGCATGCCATCAAGCCAAAGACACCCTGACCTTGTCTTAAAATCCATTCTCTGTTCACCCTTATTGGTAATTAGAAAACTTTCGGAGTGAATTTAATCACCAGACAGCACAGGCTTGGAGGAACATGGTGTCGTCAGACTAGACACAAATGGAAGGTGACCAAGGTCACAGTTTGTAGGAATGACATGTTCTGACATCCCACAATCTTCTCTGAGCTTAATAATCTCACCTTTGCAACAATCACCCCCATGCTATCCAGGGACTCAGATAGAACAGTTTCTTACTGTTAGCAGTAAAGTCCTGACATTGGAATGTGAACCCTGGCTCTTACTGCATTATAGACAAAGTCAAAGAATCCAAGAAACTTCCTATGATTAGCATAAACAAGTGGTCTTTTGTGGAAATGGCTACTCTAAACACTAGGGGTATGTTTAGACTACATCCCTCTGTCACCAGAGGGATGTAAAGTAGACCTACCGAAATTGCTAATGAAGCGGGGATTTAAATATCCCATGCTTCATTAGAATAAAAATGGCCACCACTTTTTGCCGACGTGGCACTTTGACGGCAAAAAGCGGCAGTCTAGATGGGTTTTGGTCAACAAGGAAAGCCTTTTCCGACTGATCCCTTATACCTCATGCAACGAGGTTTACAGGATTGGTCGGAAAAGGCTTTCCTTGTCGACTGAGCCCCATCTAGACTGCCGCTTTTTGCCGTCAAAGTGCCACGTCGGCAAAAAGTGGTGGCCATTTTTATTCTAATGAAGCATGGGATATTTAAATCCCCGCTTCATTAGCAATTTCGGTAGGTCTACTTTACATCCCTCTGGTGACAGAGGGATGTAGTTGATCATGTGGCATGAACATTGGAAGTTGTTCAAGCGTCTCATCATCTAACAGATAAAATTAGTGTTTTATAAGCCACTAGAGAAGATTTA